CAGTTATACTCGAGAAGACCAGCGCCGTCGAATCCAGACGAGAGGAGACATCGGATCATTTCGGTGCAATTGAATATCCCTTGTGACGGCTGGTCGCCAAATTTGTGGCTGAGGTACTGCTTCGAGATTACGTGGACGAGAATTGGCTTGCATTCTTGACATGAACAGCGGCTGTTCTGGGCTTTGGCCGCCTCGAAATCAGGGTGCTGCTGGACAAAATTCAACGCCCCAGCTTCAGCAGCCAACATGAAGCTGGCCGAGGGATGACCGGGAGCGGCCGCGGGAATCAGGGTGGCGTGCAGTCGTGTAGGTCGCTGCATGGTTGCCGTCGAAAACACCCTCCCTGGCCGGCTGAGGGCGTCGAGAAAGGCCTCAAGGTGACAGAAGCAACTTTGAGCGCCCCCAGGTCTCTCGCGATTGGCGACAACCCCCCACCAGAGCCCTAACTCGAAATGATCCATGACCTGAACGTCGTTTGTCTTGGACAGCGTTTGTACGGCCATGTGGATGCCATAAAGGGACAATGCCGTGGCAGCATCGAAGGCGCCATCCTGATTCTGCAAGAAGTCCAACTTCCAGACGTCCACGTTGTTGAGAAATTCAAATACTGTGCGGTGCATAAACGACACCCTTGAGCCAATTTTGCGTCCGCCTGGGGGGGTTCTAGCAGTTTTCATTTCCAGCAAGCCACCGCAGCGGCTTCTCAACCGGCCTTCAAGCTCCTCGCAAATCTCGCGCTTGTCGTCGGCGGTCAGTGGTTTGATCGATATTGGCCCCGTGTGATAGTCGACGGTAATTGTATTGCCCAGATTGGTTTCATACACTATAGCCAAGCTGGTTTACCTAAAAATTGCCTTCCTTAACCCCTAGTTATTTATACCATCCATTGCTGCCTTGCCTCAGCGTTACTCGGTACTACTCAGGACCGCTGGTGGCATGGAGGGTCGACTCGGCGGACAGGGTGTGGAATCGTCGAAACAGGGACAATTCCAATCAAATCTTTGCTTCATCAGCAACCTTGGCCTCGATCTTTTCCTTCTTAATCGAATGAGTCTTGGCGATTCGCTCCTCGAAGCCACTCTTAATCCCGACTATCGAAAGGTCAAGTACGTCAGCGATCAATGCCCACAATGAGACGGAAGAAAAATAAGGAAAACCTAAAAGAGGAAGGGGGCGGGGGTTGGGGGGGGGGGGGGGAGGGGAGTAAAACTATCGAGACCAAAACCGACTTACAGGTATTATAATAGATAAACTTGGCGATAGTCGGTGCCCAGACCATGACGGCCACAATCTGGCCAAAACTCCAGCTGCCCGCATTACCAATGATGCCGGCGCCTTTGAGCACGAGCACTAGCACACTTATGTGATAGCCCACCAGTAACGGGAGCGAAATTTCGATGACGAGCCAGTACCCCGTGATCAGACCTCTCCAGACTCTGTTTCCCTTCTTCAACCAAGCAGGAACCGAATCCTTCATTACACCTCTGCGCCCCTTTGACTTCTTCCAACACAAATCGCCACCACCACTTCTCCGCTCCAACTTGTGGTAGGAAGTAGCAAGCTGATCTGCTACCAGCCCCAACCATACCACCGCTCCGAACCCACACATTACGTACCCCGAAATCGCATTATCCAGAAAAGCCGTCTCCCTCGGCGGCCGACAGAGCGTCATGGGGCTCGGATTCCCTCCGCAAGCCGACAGCGGCGCGTCCTCGCGCCACTGCTGCCACATCCCGCTGGCCGGCGGCGCCAGCCTGCTGCGCCGCGCAAAAATGACCACCACAAGCACAATACTGACCGTCGTCAGATACAGAGTGTACCACCAGCGCATGCGTGCCCGCTGCAAGCAGAACTGCACGAGCAGCACGCACGCCACACTAGTCGTGTTGAGCAGCGCCGCAAGTCCGGCGTTGAGGATGACAGCGGCGTACGACAAGTCGGTCAAGCGGCCGCTGCTACTAGTAGTGATTGTGGTGGTGATGATGCCGTCTTCGGATTCGTCATTATCGGCCCGACCAATGTCCGGGTTGTAGCTGACGAGAATTGCGAGCTGGACGGACACGAGAAAGTAGACCTGGGCCTCTTGGAACTCGACAAGAGAGGAGGTGACGGCGTCGACGAGGCGGGAGCGGGATAGCTTGTGCCTTAGGTCGGAGACCTTGTCCTGGAAGGGAGTTCTGCTTCTGCATTTCCTTCTGCTTTTCCTTTCGTCGCTGTCCACATTGCCATCGTTGTTGTTGCTTTCGTTGTTATCTTGAGAGGGGATCTGGGTGTCGTCGTTGCGACGGGTGAGAAAGTCATCGAGGCGCTGCATCCAGGACGTTGAAGCCCTTAAAAGTAGGTAAAACAGCATAGCGAGGCTAGACTGGAAGAAGTAGGAGAGCAAGACCTGGAAAGAGACAGGGCAATAGGTCCTTGTCAGCATTGACCTTCGTCAACCGCGGTTTTCCATCCCCCTTTCCATTTTGCCCAGCTGCTCGGCTCATCGAGCAATCGCCCAAAACCAAGGTAAAGAACGACAGGCAGGGAAGTAATCAGGTAGGTGTAGGTGGAAAGAAAGGTGAAAACTCACCCCTGGCCCCGTTATATCCGCGCTGAGACCAATTTCCATCCCTTCACAATACCGTCCCAAGCGCGCCGTAACCACCCCCAAATTCCCAATTCCGACCTCTATGCCTGCCAGTCCAAGGACATCGTCAACGCACCTCCCAAGTCCCGGAACGGCGCACGACTCAGGGATGCACTCTCCCACCACCCTTCTCAAGACCCCTGCCCCATCAAACGCCGCCAGCTCAGGAATCCGCCACGCGTCCATGGTCTCGGCCGTCGCCCTATCTGCCCGATCGATTTGGTATGTCCCGTTTTGCACCAGCAATGCCGCGCCCGCCAGCGCGGTACACACCCGCAAATTTGCTGGCGTGAAAAGCAAGATGGGATCCGCACACGCAGCGGTACAATTCCTCTCTACCCCCACATTCCTATCGGTCCCAGACTCAAACACGGTGGTGCAGTCCCCGGAGGTGAACCCAAGACGCAGCGGTCGCTGGGCCGAAGCGGTCGCCAACATGTTGTGGAGCTGCTCCGGCACCGTCTCGAAATAGGGCACCGAAGCGAGCTCGAGGGCGCCCGCGCTGTCGAACCAGTCGTAGTCGAATCTACCGAACCAGTTATATCTCGGCGCAGGGTCCTCGCACATCACAAGAGAGAGGGCGTTGTTGATGTTGTCGCTGCCGCCGTCATCGTCAACGGCAGGAGCACCAGCAGCGGCGGGCAGGCCGTTGCCCGAGGACATGGCTTTATTTTCGACGTTTGCCGTCGCGGGGGATAATGCTGCTTGCCGTCATTTGTCGAGCGTACCAGCACTGCGTGTATCTGTTTAGCTTGGTACCAGGTCTGATGAAATTGTCGAGCGTAGTGAGATCACTTACCGGTATTCTGGGCTATCGTCGTCAAAACTGCCGAGTCCGAAAAATCAAAAGGCAAAGTGCGGCTCTGCCAGCATCTTTATTTTTCGTTCTTGGTCTGTTCGCCGAGAGCGAGAGAGAGAGAGAGAGAAAGATAGAGAGAAGAGAGAGAAGAGAGAAAACAGCCTAGGTTTCAATTCCCTTGGCACCGCCCCCAAACACACAATCCACGGATGTTGCCAGGGGGGTTGTGATTGGGCATTTTAAATTAGCAATGCGCATTGGTGAAGCATCTGCCACTCCTGCCTTGCCGATCCGACGATCCTATCCATTTTGTTGCGTTTTGCGGGTGGTGGATGCGTGCCTCTACCATTCACCAAAACAGGCACGTGTAATTGCCATGCCACGACGCAGCGGCAGTGCTAGTACAGCACTACCTACGATGAGGTCACGCTCGCACGAGATCCACCAACCCGCCGGTGATTTTTTTTCGACAGCCTCCCCACCGAGCTCCTCGTCACTATGTTCGCCCATTTCTCCTCTCGTGCCGACGTCCTGTTACAACCTGTACCCGAAGTGGGTCAGACTGCAAGGCAGTACGCCGCGGGGTGTGTTGACGGTAGGGAACGAAGGTTGCGCAAGGTCCAGACGCGACTGTGTACCGTCTGCAACAGGGTGTTCTACAAAGAGCTTGAAGAAGGTGCTTGCAAGATTGTAGACAGGAACATGATATTGCTTGCGTGAGGAACAAGAACCGTTCCTCACTCAAGGGCGTAGTCTACCTATCTATATACTATGCTGTAGAAGTAGTGTCTAGAGACTCGATGCCAAGACTCCTCGAGTCTCTCCTGACTGGCCTCCCTTGTTCCACAAGCGAGGCTTCCTTGATTGGTGCGCTCCTGTTGCCGGCAGGCAACTGGAGGCCCAATGTCGTGACCTGGGTCATGACACGTCCTCTCAGCACTCAATGTCTGCCGCTCCTGACGGCGCGTCTTGCTTTCTGCCTACATCTGGCCGGCCTCCCCTCGCCGAGCGCTTTGCACAGGGGCTTGCATCCCACATTCGCGCATCCTCTCCCTCGATTTCTGCCGCGCGGGCCGAAAATGAGCTTGATGCCGGGAAAGGCGACCGTGGGGGCGAAGGCTGGTCCACTCCGCGCTGCTGCTGCAGCACCTCCGCTCCTCGGGCCCCTTTAGCGTCGCCACGCACTACACTCGGCGCCTCAACTTGGCCGAGCCGCCCAGCCCGAGCGGCTCCAGCTCCCACTTGGGCATCCGAGACGGCGGGGTGTGCAGCCTCTCCGCCGTCCCGGGGCTGGATCCCAGCCCGGCCATCAACAGGATCTGCGCGCCATCGTGGAGGTAGGCCGCGCTACCGCTAGACTGCGTTAGGATCCACCATCCCGTCAAGCCGATCGCCGTTCCCGGTGAACCAAGGATAGTCATCAGTCCCATCCTTAACATGGTTGCGTCGGAGCAAGGGCGACCTCGACTCGGACATGTGAAGCGACTGCTCTATCAACCAAGGGTATGCGGCTTGGCTGACCCAGCCAAGCCAGCTCCAGCTAGGGAATAGCGGTTGGGGTTCTCGAGTGTCGGACTTGTGGTGTAGTTGGTTATTAGGTCAGTCTAACACAGCGAAAGTCCCCAGTTCAAAGCTAGGTTCGATCGGAGATTTTGCAAGTCATTCCTCGCCTTTGAACTCCACAGAGAATCTCAAGAGTGCTTCTTTTGCTTGATTGGGTTGCCCTTTCCAAAAAGAGTCGGTCATGCTGCCAGAATGCCTGCCCGAGTGGAACAGGCGATCTCACCCACCAGGTACACGTGTAGAAACTTAGGCCAGCTGCATACATGGGCTGCAGGCGCGTTTTTGCGCCTTGAGGTGTTTTGAACAGGGCGCGCTGTTCTTGGGCTAGCACAGCGCCTGGGGCTGTTACGGCCAGTGCCGATGGCGTTATTTAGTACTGCCGATTGGACGACGCTCGCTACTCTATTGATGAACCCCCTGATACAAATGACGACAGTCTTCCTCGCGGTTCCGAAAGTAAAGGAAGCGTCATCACCGTTCGGGTCCGAACAGAAGGGAAGTGCCCTCTCTGTCGGTCCCGAACATGACAGGAAGTGCCCTCTCTGTTCGGCTCCCAGATTCCATCAAGTAGACGCTTTTTCTCATTCAAGCCGTCGAGAGTTTTGTCCCCTTGATCAATCTTCTCTTCGCAGAACCGGAGCGCAACATGTAGCGCATATTTGTCTCCGCTTGGGACCCCGATGAAGGTCCATCTCCCTTCCAAACTCCTCTCCTGATATTTGTATTTTGACACTTTCGGCTCCTCGTCGTCTGGGAAAGAACATTTGGACGGCAGCTGATTTCCCTTCACGACCCCCAACCCGACGATGCTCTTCTCTACCGGCCCCCTCCCTGCAACGAGCAGTGGGTCACCTTGACCGGTGCTTGACTTATTCACCAACCGTCAACGAAGAGGGGAATACCATCAGCCACAACCCACGCCCAAACCGGCCGCGGCACCTGATAAGGCACGTGTTAGACAAAACTCTCTGATCGGCTGAATATCGGTCCGAGCTCTCGTCCTCGGGACCTAACTCCTCAGGCGTTGAACGCCACCAAGGCATGTCTGTTCACAGCCGCCAAGAAATGGCTCGCGAACCATCGCAACCGCTGACAAGGCAACCAGGCTGTTGTTATCGGGCAGGATGAACGAAAATCGCGCACCGAGATAGCCTCATCACACCGACATTTTCGGGCTCAACAATGACCGCTCGGTCCCTGGATCGTTCGACGCGAACAGATCGCATTGGTCGGCAGCCGCAAGGTTGACGACGCCACGACGCATTCAACTTCGCTTACGTCACCCCCGAAGTGTTTCAGACCAGCTCAACAGCAGGATGGAAGCAATCTCGCGAGGAAGGGCGAAGTCCGGATCCTCGGAGGTCCGATGCCCCAGCTTACACCCGATGTACACGCCAACACGTCCGGACGTCCGAAAAGTTGTTGAGAGAGCGGGCAGGGAAGATTGCGGCGTCAAGTGTCCGCAAAACGGACACCGTCCTGGCCTGGCGCCTGGGCCGCAGAATCGGTGTGGGAAGGAATTGAGATTGGCCGTTTCACGACGATTGTGCTGTTTTTTTCCAGTCAGCTTCCACCGCCAAAACGCCGCTCAAAAAAACTCATTTCGGGCTTTCGGGGAAGTATGTGATGCCTGCCAGGGCGATGAAGTCTGAGTACGGCGGTCTGTTCCATTTCAGCGCGCTGAGAGACGTGGATTGCGGATGTGCCTCGTGGGTCGAGTGTCTTGGGGCGGCATACGGCAACTGCAAGCCAGGTGGAGCAGAAGCTGGGATGTTTTATCAAACAGCGCTCTGTCGGCGGACAAAGTTCTGGGTTGGGATGCAATGTCAAAGGAGGTTCTCGAGGTCTGACCTGGTCACCTCGTAATCCTTGAGCCAACCCCTGAGCTACATGGAGGTACTTAGGCTTTGCGGCAAAGAAGCAGCTTGCTTGAGCGCCCTGCTCGTAAATCTGCTATCTTGCGGCTCACTGGCAGAATCACCTCGCGGGGTAATCAATGTTGCTTGTTTCGCGGGCTTTTAAATACATCATCGAAACGCTTCGCATAAACCCATATTCGTACCAACCATCCCAATGTGAGGTCATCTCAGAAGCACCTTGTTAATATCTGTTTTCTTCCCCGGCAAATATTCAGTGTCGCCTTCGGTTGTGGACGCCCTCCTAATGTCTAATCAATCCGCCCAAACACCGGGTCCGGGGTGCGTAGCTATCCACAACGCCGTGCCGTGTGCCGTCTTGGTTTTGCTGAAATGTTGTCCCGTCACAGACTTGCGAGCGAGAGTTCTCCTGCCTCCTCGACGGCCCCAAAGTCACCCGTGCCGAACCCTCGAACTCTTGCCGGCCGCCGCGTCTCCAAATATCTCGCCGAACCCTCAACACTCGGGAACCCCCTCATCTGGATCTCCGACAGCACAGTTGACGTTGCTGCTGCCGAGGCAGCACATGAGAAACGCATGGCAGATGAGATCGCTGAACTGGAGGAATCGCTCCCCCGCGTCTAAGAATCCTGAAGTCGCTATCACAGCTCATTGGCAGCATTCAGACGAAGGCAAGGAAGACAAGGCATCCACAAACTTTGTCCACGCCACAGAACAAGGGAGGCTCGCGAGTCAATATCATGAGGGCGAAGTGGTGGCGGCCATATCAACACCGACAGTCTGCAGTTGACCCAGGCACATGCCGTCTGAGGCTTAAAATCTACGCTTCCATCCTAGCACAGCATCCATTCCTGCAGGTGGTGCTACATTTTACAATTCCAAATACTAAATATATCGGGTTTCCTCTGTTCGAATCTTCCCTTCTAAAGAATGCATCTTCCAGTTTGCAATGCTAAGTATGGATTACAGTGCACTCGACGTGCACCACGAGGTCTACGTCCTACCCCCAACCCCATCCCACGTTAACTTATCGGAACGCTATGATGGAGAAAAGCTCGTCCAAGATAGGTAGGCGGGGGTGCGGCAAATGACCGGCCGGGATGCCAGAATGCAACAATTGTTGCTTACACAAATTTGGTCGGCAACCTGCCGGTTCAGAATCGGTGATCGGCTGTGGTCAGGGCGCCCCACTTTTGCGGGAGACGTCGGGGTCTCCGACCTGAGAGCCTCCGCTTCCCAACCAGCCGGATTTCCCCGTCACAAAACTGGTCCGTCTCTCAAACTCCGCCCTTGACCGAGCTCATTCGTCAGCTTTCGCTGCTATCCCGGGCTTTGAGCTCCGCATCACGCCCATGACAAACAAACCGAGCCCAACGCACCGGAACCACATTCTATCCTACCCGACGTTCGGAATTCTAACCCTCTCGTCTACACACCATTGGAGATTGTAATTTTGCTGAGTTTCCGAAGACCCTCTATCAAATCGAGTACATAAAGCCTCTGCCCCGCGACTCAAACTCCAAATCCTCGCTTACAATGTGATCTCCTAAGCGGTGGACTTGTGAGCTTGTTGCCGCCTCTCTCCGGGGCACCACGTCGCGTCTGGGAGAGATGCCCGCCCCTCTCCCGTACAGGGAATGGGAGTTTTGATGGCAGATCTCGAAGTAGCAACGATGCAAGCACCCGACGCGAGCCCCTGAACCAGCCGGCAGCGGATTGTGACAACTCCTGAGGGCCATGCTGAGTCAAGGGACACAGTTGCGATGAGAAAGAATGGAAGAAAGACGTACCGCAAACCCCCGATGAACTTACACCGGCCCAATTGCAATTCGACCGAGTAATATGAGAGAGCAATATCTCGGAGCCAAGGACCTTCGCTTCAGTGCGATATAGTGACTGCCAGTTAGTAGATCCCAAGTCCTGACACAATCGTGTTGTATGAATGCCTAACGTAAGGTTGTGCGTTATTTCTATAAATCTACCTGCGCAGGTACCGAGCGAGGGTCCTTCGGTGGCTGCCACGTTTCCTAAGCCGCGTTACCGAAGTTAAAAAGGAGTCCTTCGTCGCGACTCCCGGTTATTGGCCACTACGGTTTTTGCCGGGCCGCAAAATTGTCCCTAAGGACCTACCAGGAATACCTAGCGTCGATGCAGGCCGAAACATAATAGACTCGTCGCTCGCATCTTCGAATATCATGTAACTGACATCCAGGACCTGTAAGCTGATCTCGTATTAAAACGACGGGTCTTGCTGCTCCATGCCTGGGCGTCCCTTGCGAGCTTGTAACCGGTCGGCCGAAACAGGTATTTAGTCTACCACTCCTCCTCTTGTTTTCTTGTCCTCCCATCACCCCTTTCCATTCTACTTCTTTCTCTCAGCGCGAAGGTCTTCGTGACGCTGTTCAAGATTTCCGGGCCAAACGGCAGCTGTGCCCTTCGCTGACACCGCCACAACTCAGCAGTCGCCCATCGGCAAGTCCCCGCGGGTTACGACTTCGTCCTCGAGCCGAAACGACTCGCAATATCGTCGACCGGCACCGCAGCTCCCGATCATCTCCCGCCTCACACGTGAGGAAGGATGCGCAAACAGTCGAGTTGATGTCAGGAGACTTTCCGATCCTTTGCCCACCTAGGGGCAAACACCACCAACATGCGAACCACCGGACATCCGGCGAGGCAACAAGGCGGTCCGTACCCCTCACGAGCCAAAATTGCCTGAAATATCGGCTTCATTAGCACCGGCATTTCGGAACTTGACGCTCCGCTCAGTCCCGGCTCCGCCACGGCACCTTCATAATGGAACTTGGAGGTCCTACGGGTGGAGATGGGGTGTTCGTATGCGGAAGAGCTCGGTGAGTGAAAGGAGTGCATCCTTCACTTTGCAACCTTCTCACACATCCATAGAGCAGCAAGTGACGGCAACTGGGCCTGAATTGCGAGAAAGTAGTCCGGTGCTGCATTCGGTCGTCTTCACAGTATCTATTGGTGCTTTGAGCTGCGGAAAGCTGCATAGGGAGGACTGGTTTATTGCAGCTCGAAGGATCGTGCCGAAATTCGTCTTTAAAACTAGTCTGACAGCAGCCCATTCCATGCCGCGGAGCGGGTTCAAAAAATACATCTTTACCGACATAAAACTGGCTGAAAACCGCTTCCTGCTTTCTTTTCGTCCCCGCCGGAATTCGATACAACGAAGCAAGCTTTTCTGG